CCTGAACTGGTTTGAACTGGTTTGAACTGGTTTGAACTGGTCTGTATCAGTCTCTACTGGTCTCTACTGGTCTGTACCGGTTCATACTGGTTTGTGCTGGTTTATACTGGTTTGTACTGGTTCATACCGGTCTGTACTGGTTTAGACTGGTGTGTACCTGTTCATACTGGTTCATACTGGTCCGTACTGGTTTATACTGGTTTGTACTGGTTTGTACTGGTCCGTACTGGTTTGTACTGGTCCGTACCGGTCCGTACCAGTTCACACTGGTTGATACTGGTCCATACTGGTTTATGTTGGGCTCTACTGGTTTATACTGGTTTGTACCGGTTCATACTGGTCCGTACTGGTCCGTATCGGTTCATACTGGTTGGTACTGGACCATACTGGTTTATACTGGTTTATACTGGTGTATACCCGTTTGTATGGGTTGATAGTGGTCCGTACTGGTTTATGCTGGTTGATACTGGTTTATACTGGTCTGTACCGGTCCATACTGGTTTATACTGGTTTGTACTGGTCGGTACTGGTCCATACTGGTTTATACTGGTTTATACTGGTCTGTACCAGTTCATACTGCTCTATACTGCTCCATACTGGTTTATACTGGTTTGTACCGGTTCATACTGGTCCGTACTGGTCCGTATCGGTTCATACTGGTTGGTACTGGACCATACTGGTTTATACTGGTTTATACTGGTCCGTTCCAGTTCATACTGGTCTATACTGCTCCATACTGGTTTATACTGGTCCGTACCAGTCAATACCGCTTGATACTGGTCTGTACTGGTTTGTACTGGTTTGTACTGGCCCGTACCGGTTCATACTGGTTTATACTGGTCTGTACTGGTCTATACTGGTCTGTACTGGTTTGTACTGGTTTATACTGGTCTATACTGGTCTATACTGGTTTGTACTGGTCCGTATCGGTTCATACTGGTTTATACTGGTCTGTACTGGTCTATACTGGTCTGTACTGGTCTGTACTGGTTTATACTGGTTTGTACTGGTCCGTACCGGTTCATACTGGTCTATACTGGTCCGTACTGGTCCGGCAGGTGGCGGGAGGCGGCGCAGCGGCAGCAGCAGCGCTACGGCCCCAGCCTGAGGCTGCTGCGCATCATCTACGAGAGACAGTGATGACACGCCCACCTTGGCCACGCCCACCATGGCCACGCCCACCTTGGCCACACCCATCCTGACCGTGCCCACCCTGGCCGTACCACGGCCACGCCCACTGTGGCCACGCCCACTATGGTCACACCTACCCTGGCCACGCCCTGACCATGGCCACGCCCACAACGGCCATGCCCAACCTGGCCATGCCCACTACGGTCACACCCATCATGGCCACGCCCACCCCTGTCCATCATAGGCCACACCCACCGTGACCACGCCCACCCCAATAAAGAAATTTCCATATTTGGGTGTGGTCAGTGCCTTTATTCGGGGAAAAAGGGGCGGGGCTTCCTGGCGGTGACATCATCGCTGCTGTGTGGGGAGAGAAGGGGAGGGGTCAAGAGCGGTGAGGCCACGCCCCCTTTGGCTTTCCATTGGTCAGGGTTAGTCCTATGCTAATTTCCAGCTCTCCCATTGGCTGCTCAGAGCCTTTTCCCATTGGCCGATCTCAGCCCCTCCCTGCCCTCCCATTGGCTGAAACAACCAAGGCCCGCCCTCTCCCATTGGCTGAAACAACCATGCCCCGCTCCCGCCCTCTCCCATTGGCTGGTTGTGGCCCCACCCTCACCTTGCTGCTCTCCCATTGGCCGCGGGCAGCCCCGACCCGGCTCAGGGCTCTCCCATTGGCTGAGTGAAGCTGAGGGCGTCGCCCAGCGCTCCCCATTGGCTGCGGCGGCTCTGGAACAGCCCCACCCACACGCCCAGGCCCAGCCCCCAGAGCGCCGCGCCCACGGCCGAGCGCAGCACGTCTGGGAAGAGACGGAAACGGCCAAAATCAGCCCAAAAACTGCCCCAAAACCAGCCAAAATCAACCCAAAACAGCCCGAAAAAACCCCAAATCAACCCAAAATCAGCCCCAAAATTAGCCCCAAATCAACCCAAAATCAGCCCAAAAATCAACCCAAAACCAGCCAAAATCAACCCAAAATCACCCCCAAAAATCAGCCCCAAAATCAGCCCAAAACCTGCCCCAAAATTAGCCCCAAATCAACCCAAAATCAGCCCAAAAAAACCCAAAATCAACCCAAAATCAATTCAAAACAGCCCAAAAAAACCCCAAAATCAACCCAAAATCACCCCCAAAAATCAGCCAAAATCAACCCAAAATCAGCCCCAAAATTAGCCCAAAATCAACCCAAAATCACCCCCAAAAAACAGCCCCAAAATAAACCCCAAATCAACCCAAAATCAGCCCAAAAATCAACCCAAAAATAGCCAAAATCAACCCAAAACCAGCCCCAAAACAGCCCAAAAAACCCAAAATCAACCCAAAATCAGCCCAAAACCAGCCCCAAAATCAGCCCCAAAATCAACCCAAAACCAGCCAAAATCAACCCAAAATCAATCCAAAACCGCCTGAAAAAACCCCAAATCAACCCAAAATCAGCCCAAAAATCAACCCGAAACCTGCCAAAATCAACCCAAAATCAATCCAAAACAGCCCGAAAAAACCCAAATTAACCCAAAATCACCCCCAAAAATACCCAAAATCAGCCCCAAAATCAGCCCCAAAATCAGCCCAAAATCAACCCAAAATCAGCCCAGAAACAACCCAAAACACCCCCAAAATAATCCCAAAATAATCCCAAAACCAGTCCTCAAAACACCCAAAAACCAAATCCAAAACCCCCCAAATCAACCCAAAAATCAGCCCCAAAATCAGCCCAAAAAATGCCCAAAATCAGCCCAAAATCAGCCCAGAAACAACCCAAAAACAGCCAAAAAACCCCAAAATCAACCCAACTCTTCCCCAAAAATCAGCCCCAAAATCAACCCAAAACAGCCCAAAAAAACCCAAAATCACCCCAAAAACCAGTCCTGAACACCCCCAAAAAAACCCAAAATCAGCCCAAAAACAGCCCAAAAATCCGTCCTCAAAACACCCAAAATCGGCCCAAAATCACCCCCAAAAACAACCTAAAACACCCCAAAATCGGCCCAAAATC